TGTGTTCTATGATGCTACAGTCGTCTTCTTTTTTTTTTATTTTCAGTCATCTTCTATTTGATATAAGTCACCCTGCAGACTCAATGCAAATATTGCTCTCTGCTCCAGTGTCCCTTGGCAGACTGCGGTGTTAAACACATTCTAGATCAATGTGGCATTCTCTTCTCTTTATCATAAAGTCAGGAGCTAAAATAGTATTCAAAATTATAAAGTTAAACTTCAATTCTCTACTTACACGGTAATGTTCTTGATTTCTGTCTTTTGACTTGCAAAGTTCAAAATGTTTTATTTTTGTCTCACTCATTCAGAATATATTAGCTGATACCCTCATGTAGATTCTAAAGAAAAAAAAAATTATTTAATGTGATTTCCTTTGGAGGGCTTATACTCAAACACACATAAAACGACTTTTGGGTGGTCCAAAAGAGAAATCTCTCACAAGTTGCAAGCCCCTACATTAGAACATAATGAAACTTGCAATTGTTGGGGTAAAAATAAAATGTTTAGAGGCTATACAGCAAGGTCATTTTCTGTGAAATTTCACGTATAAAACTAATGTAGAAGCAACCCAGTGATCACTGTAAAGCATATTGTCTAAGAGAACACAGTAGACCTTCCATCCCATGCCTTCTCTTAAACAATGTGAGGTCGAAACCATTCCCACTGAGAATTTGGTCTCTACGGTTCGGTGAATATGGCTGTCCTGTTAACGATGATGAGAAGGCTCACAGGAACATTCCAGAGCCAAGCCATTAAAGATTGTAGAGTTTCTGCATTTTCTTTTTTGTTTGTTTGTTTTTACTTAGTTAATTTTGGAACACTGCTTCCATCCAATGGAACAGCCCAGAACGTACTGGTGGCAACAGCTGATAACCACGATCAACTCCCACACAACTCTGAAGGAAAACCTGCGGGAGTCTCTAGCTTTACAGCCCATCACTCTGCCATCTACATGAAACACAAACTAGTGGTAATTGTTTAAATTCTTAAAGTTTTGGGTGGTTTGGTTTTTGGTTGTGTTGTTTTATTTGCAGCAATGAATAATTAGAACATTTTTAAGGTACATGTTAATGAAGCTATGAAGAATACTATGAACATATTCACTATATTATTACAGCATTCCTCTGCAGAAAGGCAACATATTCAAACAGATACAGGGTCTATATGATGTCATGATTATTCTATTGGTGTTTGTTGTACATTATTGTACAGAAAGCTGTTTGTCATAGCGGGACTGGATAGAGTCAAGGATAAAAGGAAATAGAAAGGAATCAGGAATTTTCACATGCCCTGACCTAGAATATTCACTGCAGTTGGGAACAAAATAAGCATTTTATAATGGACACATATGCATACCACCTGGAGCTAGCAACGGACAATTCAAACAGTTCAATATTTCTTTCTCTGAAGAATGATTAGTCCCTAAATATGTAACTCCTTGTGTGTGCCCTACATTTCTTTTTAAAAATTAAGGGTATTTTTTTTTAAAAATTAGAAAGTTTACTTTCACATAAAAATATCTATAAAATTAAGACTAAACATACAAACATGTCATTTGAACTTGTAATGACATTAAAACAGTCTGAATGTCAGCCACCAGAACCCTGCTATAATACACTGTGAAAGAGAATAAATGTAATAAATTGTTTCTTGACATTGAAAAACAATTTTCCAGGTTTATATTTGGATTTGGGAGCAAAGTTCTGCCATCACCTGGTGACTGTGCATCTCCATGAGAAGCAGCTTCGTGACCACTACTGGTTCTTAGTGGAAACTGCTCACTACGTAACAGGACACTATGTTTCATGAAAATCAAGATGCTCTTCGTGGATTGGGTCCTATCTGATGCAACTAGCCATAAATTCTGGTGTGTAAAGCACTGCAGCATTAAATGTAAATTGCATGTATGGGACTGGGTTTGAATAGTTTCAGAGTTTACAAGTGTGATACATTAAGAAGTGGCCTCAGTGTCACAGGTCTTACTCCAGTTGCATTGCCTTCTGTCCCCCAGTGTGAATCTATGGTTTCACGGATTGTACCCTACACTCAGTTGATAAAGAGAGAGAGAACCAGCTGTACAGATGGTTCTACACATTATGTGGACCCCACATATGGCTCCACAGCTGAAGCACTGCAACAGCTTCCCAGATTACAAGTGAAGGCCAGCATTGAAAGGAAATACTCAGAGCTGGCTGACCTTTGGGAAGTGTACCTCTCCTCCATGTTGCTGGGGAGAAAATAAGAAGGGATTGAAAGTGTATAGATTTGTGTCTATGTACCTAGTCACTGCCTGAAACCATGGATTTGATAAAAGCTTAAAAACTTAAAGTATATGGAAAACTGGAGACAGAGATATTTGGCAAGGAGTTATGTGGACAGACTTCTCCACACGATAAAAGTACATCAAAATATTTGTGTCAAACTTAAGTGACCACAAAGTGTCCGCAGAATAACAGGACTTTAGCAAGCAAGACATAGAAACCTCCATTCTGTGTCTAGCTGTCAACCACCATTTTCAGACAGCCTAAACATTGATGAAGGGGCTCCTGAGAAAAGCGGTCATGGTGACAGAGATGAGGGTTCTGAATGGGATCAGGAACATTGACTTCCACTCCCCAAACCTGACCGGGTCACAACACTGCTGAGTAGTCCACTTGCCAGGAAAATAAGATCGAAACTGAGCATGGGGGTGACAACCTTCCCCATGTGTCAGTCTGCTCCCTGAAGACAAGGTGAAAGTATTTGACTGTTTTTATCATGGAAACAGCAGGTCTTTGTCTTTGAGGGAATAGGCACTTCTTATTATTATGCACTTTACTTTCCTGAATATAATCTTTGTACAACTCTAGCATCCGTCAACTATTAAAATGCTTCTTCTGTCATCAGATTCTTCCACACAACATTCATTCTTCATAAATAATACTCTCCAACGCGAGCAAAGAATGGTAATGTCCCCCTGTTCATGGAGTTCACTGGTCCTGACACACTGCCCACCATCTAGGTGCAGATGGGTAATTACAGTGACAAAGGGTCTTTTGAAGATGTAGTCATAGTGTTGCTATATAGTAATAAATGGAAAGCCTGTGCAAAGTTATCCGTATGTGTGCATGAGCTCTTAGTATGTAACATCTGAAACTACTCCCATAGCCTGGCTTCCTGGGTATAAAAATCAATGGAAGAAAATGAGAATAGCACAATTGAGCATTAACCTCAAGGACTCATTAGTGCTACATTCACTTTCAGTTTTTTGTGACATTATGCTTGACTAACACAGAAATCCATCTCAAAAATGGAAATGCTTCTACCTAGAGAGACCACACGGATTCAGATGACCTGAAATGTGGGAATGTCCCGGGCAATTTTGAGACCTTCATGACTCTGAGTCAGCAGCTTTAACGAATAGTTGTGGTATTAAGTGTGGTGACTGATTGAGGTTATCAAGGAAATCTTGGACAAGTGCCACTCATGGAAAGGAAGGGTAAGTATATGGATCTTGTGCTCTGAATAACTACTAGAAGAAAACAATACAGAATGTATTAATTATTTTAACTTTCCTACTAACCTGTTTTGAACCTTTATTTTTTTGACATTTCCATTTTTTCTCTCTCACATAAATGAATACATAAATAATAATTTTTTTTTTACAATGAAAGCGATCCCCCCTGACACCTAGTGTTTTCACTGCCTGTTATTAAGGTCAGTGCAAAACTGAAAGAACCTAATCCTGGCAGAATAAGAACTTGCCCACATGCTTCAGGAAGGAAAGTTAGGTTAGCTCTCCATGCAGATAACATGCAGCACCTGAGGTATCTCCTGAAGACATGTGGAATATTTGGAGTTTTTCTGGTGTGATCTTGTACTATATATTTATAACTGACAATATCAGCAGTTAAATCTTGTTAAATCTACATTTTATAAGTTAAGTGCTGACAAAGGAAGTGTACGCACCACTGAAAGAAAGTTTGCATTCTAATATGGGGAGGAGCAAATACATTCTCACTTCCATACAGAACTACATCATCATGTAAGGTGGAATTATATACTTGCTATTATCTGCAGTTGAAAATCATATATAGTTTAAGGAGGGGAGCTTGTTTGTGACATTGACCTAGGAAGCTCTGTGACTGCTAATCATGACAGGTGTACTTGACTAGACTGAGCAATATCTAGCAGATTAGCACAGCTCACTTCTGGATCTGCCTGTCACATGCTTCAGGTATGACTGGTATGTGGTTCACTAACCTGGCCCTGGGAGGACCTAAGGGGACTGGGGATGGCATCCTCTGATGGGATAACAGGTCAGGTAGGGTAAAGGGTGAAGGAACATGCTCATAGTTGCGTATTGAAGCACAAGTTTCCTCAGCTACACAACTCAACCTCGTACAATCAACTCTCCAAGTATGTTCTAGTCTTTGATGTTGTGCTTTTGTTGTGTTTCAAACCGGGTGATTCTGTAAATTAAAAATTCTTCTACAGAGCAGCTTCTAGATCTTCTGGGCTTTCCTCACTCAGATTACACCTATGGACAGTTTTTATTCTGATCTTGTAACCCTTGCAAAAATATATCCAGGGAATGACTACGTGTGTGTGTGTGTGTGTGTGTGTGTGTGTGTGTGTCTGTGTTTGATTTATGAATATATGTTCTCTTGATTCTACATTTCTAGAGAACCTTAAATATTACACGGATATAATAATATTTTACAGTTTTTAATAATTATAAAATAGGTTACGTTGATTGATATTCAGACATAAACTATGAAAAACAGCATGATCATAGTGACTTCCAACCATGGCCACATTTGTGCTCATGTTAGTTTTTTAAAGGCTTGAATTCTGCTAAGTTTATTGCAGTGAGTATGAGCCAAAGTTCTGAAATCTGACTCTCTCTAGAAGTCCTTTTACCTTTTGTCACAACTTTAATCCAATCTATTGAGCGATAAATCTTGATTCCATATTTTATTTGAATTGGAAAATAAATCATGTCAATAAGGAATAAACTCTTACTTACGGGTCCATTTTCTTTTTTAACAGTCAATTAAAACTTTGCTAGGCTTTTATCACTGCATTTAATGTCTACCTGTAAAACTGCAGATTTCACTGAAAAGGAATAATCCTCAGTAAGGAAATAAGAAAAATTTGCAAATGTATATTAGAAAAACTTGAGAAGATAAACATATTTGATCAATCATACATGCCTATGTTTATCTGAGTAATGAATTAGAAGATAACGGTAAGAAATACAACATATACATAATACAACTTATAATACAACCTAATATACAACATATAATACAACATAAGATAAAAATATGCAATACATCCATTGTTCATTTCCTATCATCTTGTCCAAAATTCTGCATTGCTTTTATTATTTTTAAGTTCTTTTGCTTATCTCTGTGTGTTTGTTAATATATTTTGTTTCTTTTCCACAAAAAAAATAAATTGAAATATATGCAAGCTTGAATTTGTGACAGCAAGTGTTCTGAAGAAAATGTCCTACTTTTCAATCAGCATTCACTCAGCACATGCAAAGTATTAGCAGTGCTGGAAGGCATGGCTAGCAGTGTGTCCCCCCAGGTAGGGCTTTATGAACTGTTGAGATGGCAACCCGCTTTTGAGTGGAGGTGAGTCCAGAACAGCGCACTGACACGTTGTGGGCTCTGATTGTTCCAGACTGCTGCAGCTCCTCCTCTATGCTTACAGACACTGATAATCTCCACACTTCTCCCAAATCAAGCACTGAATGTGAGCACTTGGGAGGAAAATTATGACAATATGAATGAAATTAAAGTAAAGCAATAGAGTGTAAATTCACTGTTACATTTTCCTTATCTTCAATTCAATGTCACTGAAGAATTTACCATTGATACTTTACATTTTCTAACATATTATATTGAAAATCACATACTTATACTTCTTGTGCAAGAACTTCACTATTGAATATGTGGAACTGTCAAATCCATAAACAATACAATTTTAATTGTTTGCATGTTTCACATTATTAATAATGGTTCATTACCAAAATAAGTTAAATATCCCTTGAAACATTTACTTTGAATATTTTAAAAAAATTTACAGGATTTACCCCTGGAGTTTGGTCCCGCAGGAACTTCCACAAGTCTGGAGCTAGGAGGCCCAGCCATCCATCCAATACATTTTTTCTACTAAAAAGAAAATTAATTTCTTCCATCCTTTAACACACCTCACTGTATTTTGCAGCAGATATATTTGAATGTATTTGATTTTCTTTATATACGCGTGGTGTCATAAACTAAAGAGAAAAAATAAAACAAAACACCCGCAACACAGCTGTTAACGTTCTTAGGGAATAAAGTGTCAACCTACAGCAACCCCACATGGGAAATGACCACTCCAATTTTAAGGCTAAGACTACCAGTGAACACCAGACATGCTCGCAAACCTTGACTACTCTGTGACTGTAATTTTTTAAGAAAGTGCACCTGTCTTTTTTATTGTTGTTCCTGGAAACCTCTGAAATATATAAGGCTGCTCTTCAGAAACACAACTCCATTTCTGCTTTAATCAGTGGAAACATAAATGACCCCTAAGCCATAACAGCTTAAATGGACAGCTGTACTGTGACTCCAGTCCATAATCTGGCTAATATGCTACAGGTAGAGTTCTTGTGCTCTTGATAATTTATCTACGATTCCACTTCACCATGAGAATAGCACAGGTGAAATTATAATATCTGCATTTTTAATTCAGGAAAAAGGTTTGTATTCATTAAAGTTTCTCTAAAAATGTCATTCTAAATGTCTCACATTCTATCATCTAAAACAGCCTATGATGCTGGACATGTTGCTGCAGGCCTGTAATCCCAGCTGTCAGGAGGCTGAGGCAGACAGAGGACAGGATCACTGTGGGTTTAAGACCAGTTGGCATTACATAGCGAATGTGGTACCACCCTGAACTGCACAGTGAGACCCTATCACAAAAACTTTTTAAACAGCCTATGAAATAATCTTTTAGGTCAAATGTGAAGAAAAACGTGATTTCTGACTGAAGACAATGCAAACAGCTGTACACACCAGGAGCAGTGCTGGGTGCCAGAGAAGCCCCTGTGAGGGACGAGGCCACCTCGACACAGTCAGTCCTGTCAGCTTCCTGGCTTGTCACTGGAGGCAGCCAGAAGGAGCTGGACCCGCTCTCCAGGGCTGCTCCCCTCCGCCCAGCTGCTCCACCTTTACTCCCAAGGAGAGAGCAGCTCCCAGCTTGGACTACTTCCCCACCTTCTGGAACCTGTCTCAGGAACATGGCCAGATGCAGAAGGGTACTTGAGTAAACAATAAAAATTAAATTTGAATTCTCTCAATAATCTCACAATTGTCTTTGAAATAAACTAAAGATGTAAGTTTAATATAACTGTGCCTTTGATGGTTTTTCACAAAGCCATTTTTGCTACTTGGCCTTTAAAATAACTTGCTGTCATGTAAATAAATCACTCTCCGCAAGCAGTTGTTAACTCTGGCACTGAAGAGACATTTCCATGCCCAAGTAGGGAAGCACTTTTATAAAGAATGGCGCTATGAGAAACTTCCTTACAGCTAATGAAAGTGACCCAGGTTCATATTCAGTGAAGCTCCAGCCAACACAGGTTCACACAAGCTCATAAAGGAGGGAAAGCTCAGGCTCTTCTCCAGTGTTACTTTTAAATTCTGAAACATAATCATCTGATCATTTGAATTTCTTCTCAGATAAGTACATAAACTTAGACTAGTGGGCAAAAGGGTTTATTTATTGAGCTGAGAATCCACTACTTTTCAGTATCTACCTGTATGTATCCCATATTTTATAGGTTATAAAGAGTATCCTGAAAATTTACTGATAATCAAACATCAGTTTTGAAAATCTTCCTTAGATTCTATTAGAAAATGAAATGTTTATCACTGAAAAAGTTTGAGAAAAAATAAGAAAATTATATATACAAATTCATGCTTATGCCATTTCATTTAGTGGCCTTGAGGACTTGCATCCTTGTGCTGCTAAGATCCCAAGCCACTAATTGTGGTGAGCTCAGCCACGCTTCAAGAGAGAGACTGAGTCTGTCTTGGGCTGGCTGCACATCTGTGTCTCACCCAGCTGTTGCTGAGCAGGGTGACACCTGGCTGACACCTGGCAGGACACAGAGACCACTTACCATTCCTCCACTTGACTTTTCTTTGGGTACGATAGCCAAGGCAGGTTACCTGAGTGATTCTAAGAGAAAGCAGCAAAGAAAAACACAGGAGAATTTGTTAACATTCTCTACTTGTGCCCTTTCTGGTTATCAACCTCTCATGTACCAAATCAAATTTGAGGTTCATAATAGGATAAAAGGGGTGCAGAAACACATTCCAACACCTCAGCAAGAAAGCTGTAAAGGAATACACAGTGCCAGGTACAGGAAAGGCTGGAGAATGAAGGTATACATACTCTTAAGCTGGTATGATATTAGAATTCTAAATGTTAATAACCAAATCAATGATCAAAATAAACGGCCAGTTCAGATTTTGGAGAAGTGATTGTGTCCAATAGGCTGAAAAACTCTAGGTGATTCAATAATTCTTTCTTAACTAACTCACAGTGCAGAGCTGCTACTGCTGTGACACCAGATGAGTGAATGCCAGTAAAACATCCCATTTATTCAGTAAACTTTCCTACATGTTCAAGACGCTTGACAAGGAAAGATGCCCTAGAGTATCTGGGAAACTTGTGCGTTTTATTCCTATGTTGATGAAAAGAGTTAACAGTAAGAGGGAATGAGGACTGCGTGATCATGCCTGATGAAATAGTAATAACCGGGGGGAGAAAGAGCAAGGCCTGCATGTCCCTACTCATGTCAGTGACTTCAGAGATAGGACACTC